AAGAAAAAGGGGCTGACCCCTCAAATTAAGGGCTCAGAGGGACCAAACGTCTTTTATCTATAACTCTCTAATAAACAATATTTTGTTATACATTACTGAAGCAAAAGTGTTTATCTTAACGATTTGTAACAATATATGATACAATTTTGATCATATGTTGCGTAATAAGGGGTCACAAGGGGGCAGAATGTCAAATCTTTGACGCTTTATATCTCGAAAATGGGGAATATTTTGATAAGCAATATTGAACAAAAGATGGCCAGAATAATGTTCTTAATAATATGCATACTTTGAATTTTTGTAAAACGGCCCCATTAAGGACTCGTAAGAGTGGCCCCTAAATATTTCAATTTAGCATATCTCCAGAACGAGTAGAAATCTCTGAATAAGTGTTCAACAAAAAATCCTCAAAATCACAAGACCTTTCATTTGATATCAAGAAAAAGGGGCTGACCCCTCAAATTAAGGGCTCAGAGGGACCAAACGTCTTTTATCTATAACTCTCTAATGAACAATATTTTGTTATACATTACTGAAGCAAAAGTGTTTATCTTAACGATTTGCAACAATATATGATACAATTTTGATCATATGTTGCGTAATAAGGGGTCACAAGGGGGCAGAATGTCAAATCTTTGACGCTTTATATCTCGAAAATGGGGAATATTTTGATAAGCAATATTGAACAAAAGATGGCCAGAATAATGTTCTTAATAATATGCATACTTTGAATTTTTGTAAAACGGCCCCATTAAGGACTTGTAGGAGTGACCCCTAAATATTTCCACTTAGCATATCTCCACAACGAATAGAAATCTCTGAATAAGTGTTGAACAAAAAATCTTCAAAATCACAAGACCTTTCATTTGATATCAAGAAAAAGGGGCTGACCCCAAAAATTAGGGGCTCAGAGGGGTCAAAAGTCTTTTATCTATAACTCTTTAATGATCAATATACTGTTTTACATTACCGAAGCAAAAGTATTTATTTTAACGATTTGCAACAATTAATGATACAATTTTGATCATATGTTACGTAATTAGGGGTCAGAAGGGGCCAGAATATCAAATCTTTGATGCTTTATATCTCGAAAATGGGGAATATTTTGATATGCAATATTGAACAAAAGATGGTCAGAATAATGTTCTAAACAATATGCATACTTTGAATTTTTGTAAAACGGCCCCATTAAGGACTTGTAGGAGTGGCCCTTAATTATTTCCATTTAGCATATCTCCACAACGAATAGAAATCTCTGAATAAGTGTTGAACAAAAAATCTTCAAAATCACAAGACCTTTCATTTGATATCAAGAAAAAGGGGCTGACCCCTCAAAATCGCTGCTCAGAGGGGCCAAACCTCTTTTATCTATACTCTTTAATTATCAATATTTTGTTATACATTACTGGGGCAAAATTATTCATCATAACGATTTGCATCAATATATGATAACATTTTGATCATATGTTACGTAATTAGGGGTTGCAAGGGACAAAATGCTGTATTTTTTTATGTTTTACGTCTCAAAAAGGGGGAGTATTTTTATAAGCCTTATTGAACAAAAATTGTTCAGAATACCCTGATAAAAATGAGAAATTTTAAATTTAATGAAGGAAAACTTAAAGTCATTCTCTTTTAACGATTATCTCAGTCAAAATCACATCTCATCTTATCGAGAAATTGAACGGAAGACCTACTCGTTGCTCGCAACGAGATCTCATCTAGTTATCATTATTATTAAAACCCCGCTTGAAAAGCGGGAGAGTATAGTAATCGGGATGTTCGTCCGTCCGTCTGTTACGCTTTGGGGTACCCATCTCTTATCTGCACTGAATGTAATTTAATGAGACTTTCAGAGAATGTTTATTACATAATGCCATTGTGCACCTCCTATTTTTCTTTTTGATCCGACACATATTTTGGGTTTCCCATAGCGAAACATGAACACTGCCATTATATTCATATGGGAGGCGGGGGTATCATTTAGTGAGCTCATTGCTCAAAGTACTTCTAGCTATTATTATTATTATTATTATTATTATTATTATTATTGGGTAAAAAGTATCTTTTCTTTGTCTTGACCTATTGTAAAAGATGAGGGCTTATGCAGGCCTTGTCTGTATTTAAATTCTAATTTTTTTAGTGAAATACTTGTAAAGATTTAAACGTAACTTCATTTTAACATCAAATTAATAACAATGATGTCATGCAAAATTACCTTGAACAGTTGGAATTTCGACTATTCAAAACTCATTATGGAAATGTTATCAACAACACATTAATAGGCTCGAACTTAAAAAAAAATAATGACAATAGCCAATATTGAAGTGATCATATAAAACGGAATCTACATGTACCTGATTTATTTGGTAAAATTTGAAAAAGCAATTCCATTCTCTCTTTTATCCCGTTTGATAGTTGTTCCATATATTTTCTCATTTTAAAAAGAGAGACGGGAAAATGTAAACAACGTTGATGCTGGAAATGGGTTTCAAATACATGTATATATATACCCTATATCTTTATTATGACAAAGAACGAGGGTGCTTTTGATTGGCATTCTTCATGATTTTAAAAAGTGATTTGTGTGTATTTTAATAATTACCCCCCTAAATACTAATGTGATAATGCATTGCTTCATTGTCATTTAAAAAAGTAAATGATATGACATAGTATGCGTTACCCGAAAAGAATTTTTTTTTTTATTCGATCCTCACATGGAGCGTTACCTTTAGAAACAATAAATTATTTTATCAGATTAACTTTATGCATTGATTTATTTTAAAATAGAGAAATTCTGGTTTTGTTGCACCAGAAACGAGAGAAATTATTCTAAACTACTGATACTTTAGTATAGAAGACCAAATCGTAGAGATTCAAAGTAGAAATGTTTCATATGATTTATTCCTGTAGATCGAACACCAAATACGCCCATCTTCTTTAAATGCGATCAAATTATTGCATGTAAATACATGTAAATAAAGCAGTAAGTATTTGGCATGATAAGCCTCATCTTTATAATGAAGACATTTATATAAGTATTGATCACAAGGAAATGATCTAAATTTACCTGTATTGTTTGGTAAAATTTGTAGAAGCAAATCCATATTCTCTTTCGTCTTATTTGATAGTTTTTCCATATCTTTTTCCATGATCAAAAAAGAAAAAGAAACATTAACATTTAGATTGGTACTATCAGTTTTCAAAACGGTCTCACGGGAATATATACTGAGTATATTGTCCGTGTTCTTTCGCCGTCTAGGCTTAACAATTTGCATAAAAACATCTATTCTGTCAGCATTATATTTGTATTTGCTGACAAGATCATTGTATCGAAAGCAGAATTTACAAAATGTTAACTTTAAGCGAGATTATTGAAATTCTTGTTTCATTAAATTGTTTTTTCAATGTCTATGCGATGTATGTCTCCCGACTTTAAAAAACTGAATTGAACTAAATTGTTTTTTCAATAGTTCAGAAATTGTTCACACGTTTAACATGCTCTTCTTGCTTGATTTTTGGACAAAAATTCGATATATCTCTGATAAGGGTACATTGCAATATATTTTAGTGAAGTTGACAACGCATTTCTTGATCCAAAACGGTAAACATTAATGCTCCATGCATATTATCAATGATGTAAAAAAAAGATTCTGCTGACCATTAGAAGATAGAGACTGCATAAATAGTATGCATACTCCACTAATTAATTTCTTTCAAATGACACCAAGGCCAATGACCTTGTGACCTTGACTGTGACCTGTATGTTAAAAATAGTTTTTTCGTACCTTTGCCATAGCTTTTGAACCAAAAGAGATAGAGACTTTATATTTGATATCCATACTTTACTAACTAATTTCATTCAAATGACACCAAGGTCAATGACCTTGACTGTGACATTTATGCTAAAAATAGGTTTTTTAGAATTATATTGCCGCCGGGCGCATAGTGTTTCACAAACACATCTTGTTATTTTAAAAAAAAAACATTCGTAAGGATGTATTATTTTGTTTATATAGACAGGAACAAGTTAATTGTAATAGGAATGAAGTGAAGAAGTAAAAGATGAAGCTAACAAACAGTGATTGATCTTTTAAAAAATCCATATACAATAAAATATGTGAAGGGATGAAACAATGACCCCTGGAAATTCCAGACATTAACTATATTATACATTAATAGAATTTTTTCTATAATTATATGAGTTGCAAAAAAAAATTAATTTTTTTTTATCTGGAAACATTTTAAACGGCCTATAATATCAACTCTTTGTATCTGAAGCCGGTATTACTTACACGAGATGAATGACTAAAATGTTAAAAAAAAGTTTGTGAAATCGAGTCGAAGAAACAACACAGAAGAAACAACATTAAAACTTTTTAAATTCTATGCTGAAGAAATAAGTGTCAGACAAACGAGTAATTGATTGTTTGTTGTTTAACGCCCCTCTCGAGAATGTTCACTCATTTGGAGAGGCACCACTTGCTGACCAAGAGCTGTAAATTCTGTCCTGTACTCAGCACTGGCGGCCATTGAGCAGTGAGGGATCTTTTTTGTACCAGCACCTACTATATACGGCGTACCCAGTCTTATTCGAAGGACTGGTCTCCATGTCCCACACTGGTTTTGATCCCGCGGCCTAAGGATAAACTTTTTACTCTGCGCCGCCAGAACAGACTCTCTTACCACTGCGCCACGTCAGCCAAACGAGCTGATGGCATAAGGGGCACGATTGTTATGGATTACAAAGAAAACGCTCGAAACATGAACATTGTAATTCATAAATGTAAGTTTCATTTGACATTGTTAATATTTCTTCGATTACCTAGATTTCATTCGATTTTTTTCTTGGTTTGTGTGTGAAAAATGTGTTTCCTTTTCCCTTTTTTTTTTTGCCGAGCAAATTCCGATTTGTTTCTGATGAATACCTAGCTAGTGCTGAAAATCCTTAATCTGATCTTTTCAAAAATTAAATGAAATAAAAATTATTACATGTATACCTGTTCCTCTTGGTAACGCTTGTAGAAGCAATTCGACGTCCATCCTTGTCTCATTTGATACTTTTCCCAAATCTTTTCTCATTATGAAATAAAGAGATGGATGCAATGATATAGAATTTACAATAACTTCCCAAATACACAGGATAGTTCTGAAATAGATATCTTTATTTAAAAAAAAAAGCAAATTATAAACATAGCTAACTAACATAAAGTATTATACACAATATATAAATATGCATATAAGCAAAGTTGGTAGTCTTTAAATTAAATTACGAATGACTACAGTATTTATACTGATCAAAAAAGGAATATATTCACCTGCTATGTTTGGCAATGTTTGCAGAAGTAATTCGGTGTTGATCTTGTTTGATAATGTTTCCATATCTTTTCCAGCGATCAAAAAAAAAATTAGAACCATCAATATGAAATTGATACAATGTGGGCAATGGGTACAGTAATGGATACCTCTAATTAGACGATGATTATGAGAGAATAAAAACAAATAAATCAAACTTTACCAATTATTTACCTTCTTTAGCTGACAGACTGTCAAAATGGTATTTGTTGTTAATCTTTGTCTCATCAGTAATGTTGTGAACCTCTGCGTTCATGATTTTAATAACATGTTATAGGAAAAAATTAGTATTCATGAAATTTGCATGCTATAAACTGATAAGTTTTACCAGTCATGCTAAATATATATATATATATATATATATATATATATATATATATATATATATATATATATATATATATATATATAGTATAAATCCACACACATATTGTATTGTCAAACTCCTGAAGATTGGAAATGAAACCATTTGAGTTTATTTTGGTGTTGTGATTTTTTTATTATATATATATATATATATTTATTTATTTAAGTGATTGTAACGGTGCGAATTCTAATGCTACATTTTAACGTTATTATGACGTCACAATGGACAATACTTGACGTCGTGCTTATGAACGTTACTAAGCAATTTTATATTTAACTTTTAACTGTCTAGGGAGCCATTAGGCAGAAAGCGCTAACAGTAAAAATGAATTTCGAGATTTGTGATTTCTGACTTTTTTTCATTGGATATATATATATATATATATATATATATATATATATATATATATATATATATATATATATATATATATATATATATATATATATATATATATTAAAAAAAGTAAAAAGAAAACACAAAAATCCTCAGTTAAGCTTTAGCGCTTTCATTTTTCAATCTTCAGAAGCTTACAATAGTATCATAGTAACAGTGATTATGACGTCATGTTAAGCGGAACGTTAAATGTCTATTATGACGTCATAGATACAATATGACAAAAGTATGGGAAAATCACAAGTAATTTATAAAACACTATTAAGTTTTGGCTGAAAAATACTAATAAAATGTTTTTCTTTTTCTTTTTCCCGTCTCTGGATATCAGTGGCACAACTGAGTTTATAGAAAGGGAAAATTTTGAACTGTTTTTTACCACACGCCTCTAGGTGCGAACTTAATTGAATTTGTCTGTATTCGGGTATACTAATGTGTTGCTTATGTACACGTACACGGGCACGGAGAGTGTTGCCGGTTTCACCAATATAATATTCCTCGCATCCAGGACATGTGATGACATAAATGACATTTTTTGTATCGCATGACATGTTTTCTTTAACTCTAAATTCACGCCCATTGAAATTATAGCTGGTCCCTTCTGTAATGTATTCACATGTACCGCATCGAGGGTTCTTACACTTAGAGACTGTATAAGTATGGTCGTTGAATTTGGAAGAACAAAGTATTCTCTTTAGGTTTTTGGGTTGGCGTTTACTGTTGATAAAACGACAATTCTTGTATACGTTTTTCGTTTGTTCGTCCTCTCTAAGTACGTTGTTCAATTCATAAATAATTGAACTCACATTTTGATTTCTCGGGTTATGCGTGTGCACAAATGGAATTATTTCAACGTCATTCGCACGTCGTATGTTTAAAAGTAACTGACCTCTATCGCACTCCTTGGCTTTCTTTATACCATTATCTACAAGTTGTTCTGGATATTTTTGGTTTAATAAATACAATTTTAATTCCTCCAGACGAATATCCCTGATATTGGTATTACTCACAATGGTGCATATCCTTCTTGCGAGGTTATATGGTATAGCTGTTTTAGTGTGATGGGGATGACTCGATCCAAAATGCAGATATTGGTGTGTGTCGGTTGGTTTATAGTAAATATCCGTATTTAAGCTGGTATTATCCTTTGTTACAAGAACATCGAGGAATGGCATTTGCAAATCATCTGTTTCCATCGTGAATTTGATATCCGAATTCATTTGGTTAAGTAGATCATAAAACTCCGTTAGTTTATCGACATCCTCCTCCCATAAGATAAAACAATCGTCTAGAAATCTTTTCCATTTCGACCGTATTTTGTTTGCAGATTCTATCCCCCACAACGTACACAGTTGATCATGTAATTTATGTTCTAGATAACCAAGGGTTAATGTTGCATACTAAGGTGCGACTTTTGTCCCCATTGCTGTTCCCTTTATTTGGAGGTAATGATGGTCTGAAAACTCAAACGTATTGTTATCTAAAACTAATTTTAAAGCCTCTAGGATGAAGTCCGTTGAAACCTGTTGTTTAGAACATCGGGATAATTTTCAGTCCAGAATTTGACAGCTAGCAATCCCAATTCTGTAGGAATATTTGTATACAAACTTACAACATCCAGTGTGACAAGTTTGGTGTTAGAGGTGACATGAGTAGGTAAATGATTTATAAAATCCAGATCGTCTCTCACAAAGCTGGGTACTTTTTGACAATATGGTTTTAAAAGTATATCCAATAAATGACTCAGTCTTTGCGTTGAAGAGTTCGGTCCTCCTACAATTGGTCTGAAGCTTAAATCAGCGGGATCAGCACATGTTATACATATACTATTTTGCTCTTTTATGGCATCCTTAATAATTTTAGACTTGTGCACTTTAGGTAAACCATAGAATTGACTCTCTCGGAATTCAAAGTTTGTCAGGTAGTCCTTTTCCTTATCTGTTAAGCCCTCCGATAGTGGTCCATATACTAAGTTTTTTATTTTTGTAATTGTTTTCTTCTCATGACAGTTGCGCAATTTTTCATAAAAATTATTGTCTTGCAACATTTGTAAAATTTTACTTTTGTAAAAATCCTTATTCATTAAGACGACTCCGCCTCCTTTATCGGCCTCTTTGATTATGATGGTAGGGTCATCGCTGAGGTTTTTAAGAGCCTTTTCTTCTTCCTTAGAAAGGTTTGGTTTAATAGTCCTGGGTTTGTTTGGGAAATGAATATTTTCTAATGTGTCGCAAACAGCATCCAAAGTTTTGTTTCTTCCTCGTTTTGGGTTAAACTTGGATTTGTTTCTTACAAGGTCTGTTTCTTCTGCGTCTATAGACTCGGAATCAGATTCACTGGTATCACTTTCATGAAAATATTCACGTAGCCTGAGTCGCCGAGTATAAGCTTTTATATCCGTTTTAAGCTCTTAATTATTTACTTGAGGCGTAGGGGTGTATTTTAGACCCTTAGACAGTAACTTGATTTCGGAATCCGTTAGTTGTCTATGGGAAAGATTAAATATTTTTGGTTCCATCTTAATTACATTCTCGGACGTGTCCCCGGCATTGCTGTTGCTTATAACTGTAACTTTGATTTTTGTATCTTTGACCTTGGTTCATTTTGCCTCCTCCTGAAATAATTGTGTACCCCTCTTCACATGTATGTTGTTTTTTCGTTTCTGTAAAAGTTTGGTGGTTGTTTATTTGTACCATTTCCTCGGTGATTTTTATGTTTACCGTTATTGTCCCGATTCTGTATGTCTCTGTGTTGCTTAGGAAATGGTCGGTTTTGTGAAATGGCTGAACGAGAACTGTAACTCATGTGTTTAGAGTTCTCGTGTTGATTCATCCTTTTATATTTTCGTTTCCCTGAAATTTCATGTGTTATCTAGAACATAAATTACATGATCAACTGTGTACGTTGTGGGGGATAGAATCTGCAAACAAAATACGGTCGAAATGGAAAAGATTTCTAGACGATTGTTTTATCTTATGGGAGGAGGATGTCGATAAACTAACGGAGTTTTATGATCTACTTAACCAAATGAATTCGGATATCAAATTCACGATGGAAACAGATGATTTGCAAATGCCATTTCTCGATGTTCTTGTAACAAAGGATAATACCAGCTTAAATACGGATATTTACTATAAACCAACCGACACACACCAATATCTGCATTTTGGATCGAGCCATCCCCATCACACTAAAACAGCTATACCATATAACCTCGCAAGAAGGATATGCACCATTGTGAGTAATACCAATATCAGGGATATTCGTCTGGAGGAATTAAAATTGTATTTATTAAACCAAAAATATCCAGAACAACTTGTAGATAATGGTATAAAGAAAGCCAAGGAGTGCGATAGAGGTCAGTTACTTTTAAACATACGACGTGCGAATGACGTTGAAATAATTCCATTTGTGCACACGCATAACCCGAGAAATCAAAATGTGAGTTCAATTATTTATGAATTAAACAACGTACTTAGAGAGGACGAACAAACGAAAAACGTATACAAGAATTGTCGTTTTATCAACAGTAAACGCCAACCCAAAAACCTAAAGAGAATACTTTGTTCTTCCAAATTCAACGACCATACTTATACAGTCTCTAAGTGTAAGAACCCTCGATGCGGTACATGTGAATACATTACAGAAGGGACCAGCTATAATTTCAATGGGCGTGAATTTAGAGTTAAAGAAAACATGTCATGCGATACAAAAAATGTCATTTATGTCATCACATGTCCTGGATGCAAGGAATATTATATTGGTGAAACCGGCAACACTCTCCGTGCCCGTGTACGTGTACATAAGCAACACATTAGTACACCCGAATACAGACAAATTCAATTAAGTTCGCACCTAGAGGCGTGTGGTAAAAAACAGTTCAAAATTTTCCCTTTCTATAAACTCAGTTGTGCCACTGATATCCAGAGACGGGAAAAAGAAAAACATTTTATTAGTATTTTTCAGCCAAAACTTAATAGTGTTTTATAAATTACTTGTGATTTTCCCATACTTTTGTCATATTGTATCTATGACGTCATAATAGACATTTAACGTTCCGCTTAACATGACGTCATAATCACTGTTACTATGATACTATTGTAAGCTTCTGAAGATTGAAAAATGAAAGCGCTAAAGCTTAACTGAGGATTTTTGTGTTTTCTTTTTACTCTTTTTAATATTGTTATCCGATTACTGAGACATTATTTAAATTTTGGATATATATATATATATATATATATATATATATATATATATATATATATATATATATATATATATATATATATATATATATATATATATATATATAAAGCACTAAAATGACCAACGACACGAACAATAAAAATTGTCAAACGTACAAACAGCTATTGATGAGATGGCGGGACATGACAGGCAAAACCTATTACGCTACAAGGAGAAAGACAATAGCGGCAGGGTCCCTCTGGTAACCACATACCATCCCGTCCTTAAGAACCTTAGCGGTATCCTTCAAAAGAACCTTCCAATTCTCCATTCAAACAAACGAATGGCAGAGGTCTTTAAGGAACCCCCACTGGCTGCATACAGACGCCCAAGGAACCTAAAGGACATGGTAGTAAGAACCAGACTGGACAACCCATTACCTAACGGGGGCTTTAAAACTTGCTCTGACAGAAGATGTCTTCTTTGTAAGCACAGCACTGACACAGATAGTTTTAACAGCCCTGTTACAGGCCGCAGCTACAAAATACTGGGGAATTTGTCCTGTCAGACTGACAACTGCATTTATCTCATTAGTTGCAAAGTTTGCTCCAAACAGTATATTGGTGAAACAGGAGATCTCCGCAGGAGAGTCAATAACCACCGCTCGACCATTAGGACCAAAAAACTCAATGAACCCGTTGGGGAACATTTCAACCTTGAGGGTCACAAATGGGAGGACATGACAGTAGTGGTGATTGACCATAATCCAAGATGGACAGATGCTCAGAGAAAAAGCAAAGAAAAGTTCTGGATGCACAGATTGAAGTCATTCCGCCCTAATGGCATTAACAAACTGAATGACTTCACCAGAATGAACGTAAACTAGACTCAATTCCTGATGATACTAAACAAGATTATTCTCTCAATTTAGTGTTAACTCTACAGTTAATTTGCGTCACCAACTCTCGGACAACCCAGAAAACTATTTATTGTTTACTCTTTTGTTTAAAAAATTTTTTTCCCGGTAATAAATCCTAAAATATTTCAAAATTTATAATGGATCATAATTCATATGTTTAAATATCCCTTCTTTATTATTTTTCTTTGATTATTCTTTATTAAGTAAAGTTACGCCATTTTGAGAGAATGAAACAATGTACGATTTACTGATTATCGTAATTAATTAGCATAATTAATTCGTTCAATTATGTAAATCGCACTTCACCCGAGTATACCCGATAGACCGGACGCATTTCATAGCGGTCCGGATTTCTTTCTTTATTAGTGTTCTTAAAAATTTCCAATTCAACAGGTAATTAAGTATGTAAATATCGAGTGTTTAGTAGTTTAGTAGTAGTGCTAGTTGTTTTTGTTTCTCTTTTTCCTTTGTTTTTATGACTTTTTAACTTTTTTCTTTGTCCTGAGGCGTCCCGAAAATTTGACAATTTTTATTGTTCGTGTCGTTGGTCATTTTAGTGCTTTATATAAATTTCCATCCGTGACCTTGTATCTACTTAGTAGATCCGACATCTAGGATATACAGTGTTGTTGGTTTTTTGGTGCTTTATATATTATATATATATATATATATATATATATATATATATATATATATATATATATATATATATATATATATATATATATATATATATATATATTGAAAACCGACGAAACTATGTCTAAAATATTTAAAAATCGGAAATTCATAAACAGTAGGAGGCACGCGAAGAACCTTAGACGAATTCTCACAAAGTCCTCTTTTAGAGAAACGACAGAATTTCATGTGACCAAGTGCCAGGATCCGCGTTGTGGTACCTGCCCGTACATACGACAAGGACAAAGTTTCAACTTTAACGGGAAACAGTTTACTGTTAATTATAACATGTCATGTCAAACTAGAAATGTTATATACGTTATAACATGTTCCGGTTGCAGGGAACTATATATCGGCGAGACGGGAAGTACCTTACGGGAAAGGATCAGAGTACACAAACAACAAATAAACGTACCGCAATATCGCAAACTCAAAGTCAGTGAACACTTAGACGTGTGCGGAAATAGAACTTTTACTGTCTTTCCATTTTATAAACTGCACAACTCTAACACAATCGAAAGACGTGATAAAGAAAGACATTTTATAAGGACTTTCAAACCTAAATTAAATAGTTTAATGTAAAAGAATTGTTTCTTTACATGTAAATTATGCTACTGAGTCACATTTATTGCTTTTTTATTGTATGCTTTGTTATAGCATTGTTCTGTGAAAGTACGGGAAAAATATGACGTCAATCAAAAACTTGTTAACGTTAAGTTATTATGACGTCACAATAGACGTTACCATGAGTATTGTAAAACATCATGAAGAAGAAATGAAAGCGCTTATGTTTTACTCGTTCTCTGTGTTTTTATTTATTTAAAATAATTTTCATATATATATATATATATATATATATATATATATATATATATATATATATATATATATATATATAATTAATGATATTACATGTAGGTATATATGATGATGTACAACAACAAAATCTTTATCTTTGGAATAAATATTCATACATTTTCTCACATTTTGATATAGCCATGACACATTCAAATAAAATGAATAAAAAAAATTCTCTCCTCGGAGAAAAAAAAACTTACTTATAAAGAAAATTTATTCCACACGTACAACATATCTCTGAAACAATTTTAGCAAACAGACCAATTCAGCTTTTCAAATACCTTTGCATAATTTATCAAATCAATAACAGTCTATAATCATGGAATAAACTTTCTAAACACCCTATATGACAAAGTTTCTTTATGAGTGAAGTAATGACCTTGCATTTAAAGCTATTTGATCTCACCATTTCTTAAACCATCGATATGAGTCTTCAGTTCTCCTTTACTGATTAGTTGTTCAACGTCCGAAGGAATGTTCTCTCTCAAGGATTTTGTACTAAATATACTCGCAATGGCTGCCGATATTATAGCACAGACTAATATCATACAAAATATGCCCATGTACTTCTTTGCATGACGACCAGTCTTTTTCGGAAACTCCATCTATCGATGAAGACAAAAAGGTAGAGAAAGAATTCAATGTCTTTATCGGTTTTTTTAAATAGCGTAAGATCACTTATTTAACACGTTTAGATTAAGAAACTTATGAACTGCTTACAGATTACCTGATAAAATATTTTAGCGTCCCTGTTCGTTTGAAAATCGGATGGAGTTTCTTTCAGAATTTCTTGACCATCGTTCTAAAATATTTTGTTAAAACTGCATTTTCAACATTCAAAACAATGTCTTTTTGACACATTATAATTATTCAGAACTTTTTTAATTTGGTGAAAGCTCATCAGAGTATTATTGTAGGGTTTCACTTGTATCTGTTTAAGCACTCTGTTTAATTTGATTACTTCTAAAGTGTTACCATTTGATCGCCTTCGTCTGAAACGGGAGCCTTGGAGGCGATACTATTGCATCTTGCTGGACCGGCACAACGGAGACTCTGATATGTGTAAATGAAAATCTAATGATTTGCTAATAAAAGAATAGGATTTAACTTTATTCTTAAATTCAATTTTAAAGATGACTTTAACGAATGTGATCAAGGTTTTATAATAAGATATCTAAAATCTGAGACTGCATGTTACATGAAAAACAAATCAATGAAAACACTTTTAAATTCCCCTTTCTTTGCCTTTAAATAACATATATTTGACGTCTGAAATAAATGAGCTTGTTTAGCTTGCTATTTGTTCTAGGGTTTCCAAATGTCTGTATTTTTATCGAAACAATTTTAAAGTCAGGTTTGTATATCTTTTTTTAAAAAAAGAAAAGAATACCCTATAATGTGGGGTCTTTCAAACATTTGTCTTGTTTTTAAAATTACCTCAATTTCCTGGTAGGTATTGGACGAAACATTGCTTTTGCTTGATTCTTTCTTAAAAGTCTGAAACACATGAACTTTATTTTTTTAAACATAAACATTTTTGTGATAAACAACTTACGAAAATTCTAAACACAATTCACTGAAGAAGTTTTTTGTAGTTAGCCCTTTTATATGAACAAGCATATTCAGAGAGAATTGCGGTCCCCCGCTTTCGGTGTTCTTGTGGGTGAGATGTCATTTTTTCTGACATATTGTGTCAAATCTTGTCATAGATAATACACATGTCAGATATGAAAGCCCTATTAAATATATATTGGAAGTTTCTTTCTTAAGAAAGGTCTTGCCACAATTATTACATACGCCCATGCGTGAAGTATGAAAGCCCTTGCCCGAACCATTCAAAAGTTATGGCCAAGGTTAAAGTTTTTAAAACGTAGGTCAAACTCCAAGATCATGGTCAAAGTTCTTCATATCCAATGAAAGGTCTTGCCACAAGTATTACATATGTGAAGTATGAAAGCCCTTGCCCAAACCGTTCAAAAATTATGGCCAAGGTTAAAGTTTTTAAAAAGGAGGTCAAACTCCAAGATCATGATCAAAGTTGTTGGTATCCAATGAAAGGTCTCATCACAAGAATTATATATATGAAGTATGAAAGTCCTAGCCCTTACAGTTCAAAAGTTACAGCCAAAGCATAAGTTTTTTCATAAGTAGGGAAATCTCCAAAGTCAAGGTCAAAATGTCAAAGTTGTTGGTATCCAGTGAAAGGTCTTGCCACAAAAAATACATATGTGAAATATGGAAGCCCTAGTTTCTACCGCTCAAAAGTTATGACCAAAGTAAAAGTTTGGAATTTTTGTGTAAAAGTGGGTCAAACGCCAAGGTCAAAGTCAAAAGGTTGATCGGGAAACAACAGAAAGTCCGTATACAATAATGGTTTTACAATTAGTATGAAAACATCAGTCAGTTTTCGACTAAATGATAGATCACATTTGCTGACAAGTTCATTGTATCAACCATAAACTTTAAACGATCCTCTTGAAAGTTAAGATAGAATAGACATAAATCTACTTTGGTAGGCACTTAATAAAAAAAGAATTAAGTAATTTTAAAATAAAGTGAGACAAAAATAAAGCAATAAAGTACTTATTTGCATTTATTTTGTCAATGTAATCTCTGTAGTCAGAGTGAAATTGGAAATAAATTTTACTAAATGTTGCATTTTGTTCAAGGATGAAAGATGGAAGTAGCTAAAAAGGTTTACAATGTGAAAATATTTGAAGATTTGCTAATTTGTTTGACAGTGATGATAAATTTACTCGAAGTGGTTTGACAATTATTTTTTTTTTAAAATTAAAGCCTATATTTCACAATTCCTTACTATGCCTCTGAAATATTGTGTATATGTTAATCTTTTGTTTTTATGACCATTTCTAAGTTTTCTTTATTTGTTGCTTGCACTTTTATGCCTCACGTGAGGCTCTAAAGTTAAATAAAATGTTCAAAATGTAAGTTAAAAAAACCTTGATTTCTGTTTAAAGTACTTTTCTTTGATCATTTTTCCTGGAGAAATATTTCAGGCATCTGTGGAAAATAAACTAGATAAGCTGTGTACTCCTTCATATATATATATATATATATATATATATATATATATATATATATATATATATATATATATATATATATATATATATATATATATATATATATATGTGCTCTTAAATGCTAAAACTGATGAACAATTCGGTTCATATGAACATGAAGCACATTTGCAGCTCTGTTCTGCAGCATGATAATAATAACAAGAGGCCTTTGGGCCTTATAGGTCACCTGAGCATTATGCAACAACTTTCCAGTGATTGAATTTGATTCATGTTTTAAGCCAGATGCTATGGCATTCACAATTTTGAAAGAGGCACCATTGATCATCATAACAATACACTTAGCAGTTGCTTAGTTTGTTTACTTAATACCCATATGCAGGGTAAGGGAACAAAAAATGCATTTCAACTAATCAGTAATATTCAGCAATAATCAGTAGTGCCCCTAAAACACATGAACCCCTGACCCTTAGGCCTTGATATTTGATTAATACCAAGGAGCAGATTTCAAACCATTCATTCATTTTCAGTATATAAGTACAGCCCCCCCCTTCTATGGTACCCCTGACCCTGGGGCCTTGAAATTCACAATTCTGGAAGATATGGGCCCTTGTCCAGCATAACTATATAGGTAGTTCATCTGCTTAATACCCTGGAGCAGAGAAGAAAATTTTCAAAGAATTCATGTATTTTCACTATATAATCAATACAGCCCCGCCCTAACACCAGAACCCCTGACCCAGGGGCCATAAAATTCACAATTTTGGTAGAGGCACTCTTGCTCATCATAACTATGCACTTAGTTAGTTTATTTAATACCCAGGAGCAGAGAAGAAGATTTTCAAAGAAATAATGCATTTTCACTATATAATCAATAGAGCCCCGCCCTAACACCAGAACCCCTGACCCTGGGGCCATAAAATTCACAATTTTGGTACTGGCACTCTTGCTCATCATAACTATGTGCTTAGTTGGTTTATTTAATACCCAGGAGCAGAGAAGAAGATTTTTAAAGAAATAATGCATTTTCACTACCTACTTATTTAGCCCCGCCCTAGAACTAGAACCCCTGACCCCAGGGCCATGAATTTCACAATTTTGGTAGAGTACTCATTGCTGATTACAATCATGCAAACAGTTTGACTGCTTGATGTCCAGGAGTAAAGAAGAAGATTTTTAAAGATTGCATTAATTTTAGTGGTTTTGGCCCCACCCCTCAGGCCCGAGGGGGGCAGGGATCATGAAATTCACAATTTTTGTTCCCTTTCACCCATAGATGCTTTAGGCCAAATTTGGTTGAAATTGGTTCAGTGGTTGCAGAGAAGAAGCTGAAAATGTCCAAATGTTAACGCACAACGCACGACGACGGACGAAAACAGATAGCAATAGGTCACCTGAGTTTACTCAGGTGACCTAATAAAGAGGGTGTGTGTGTGTGTATAGAGCATTTATTACAAATGCCAAATGAGATTACATATTTTACAATTTCAGAATGCAGCAGAAGGTGGGGCCTAAAAATATCCTTCAAGAGGGACAATGAAATTACAGAGAAGGGTCCCATTTAGATCACATAAATTCCTTTATATACATAAATACACATATGTGGCACAATATTCTCATGGCCTTCTCATTTCTATTATTTTTTTTTTTATTGGCTTGCACAAGTATACAAACCAAACTATATATATAAGCAAAACATATAAATACATATATATGTACATGGTGAATTTCTTGATAAGTTCGTTCTTTTACAACAGTTCAAAGTTTACTTGTAACTATGAAAGTTGTTTTATAAAAAAAAGGGGGGGGGGAGGGTCAGAAGTAGTAACTAGTAGAAAAATCAAATAATGTAAATCCTTAGAATTAGCACATAATTACATTTCATCATAATAATAGATGATTTTTTCAAAGTACATCACAGATTTTTTGCCAGTGTCTTTCATATTCCATATATCTACAACTTTGTAATACTTATAGTAACAAAACCTTTTCTATAAAAATTCTGTCTATAATCATTCTTATTAGAATATCAATATTTAATTTTGGAACACTTTTATATTTACTAGCAAAAATAAATTGTTTTACAATTAAGTATTATCACATTTTGTAATTTACATATATTCCTGTTCCCATATTTACCAAGAAGTATAGCTAGTTTGTCAAAACTGCAATGAATCTCAAATTTTTTCAAAACCCATTTTTCAATCCTACACCATAAATCTTTTACTTTAAAACATTCTACAAACAAGTGGTCAATTTTTTCTATGTCACTTAAACAAAATGTACAAGCCGGTGAATCAATTCAACTTCAATCTAAAAAGATAATAATTTATTGGGGTACTTCTGTGTAATATTTGACGAAGACATTTTGATTAGAGTTAAGAACTTCCTGAAAAGGATCTTTACAAAGCTAGTTCAAATCGATTATATTCCTTCCGTATAATCAGTTTCAAAAATACGGCGCCGCTGGAGGACCAGGTAAAAAAATATTTTTATTTGTTCGGACAAATAAGAAATTCGTTCGGACGAATTAGATATTCGTTCGGACGAATTAGAAATTCGTTCGGACAAATTAGAAATTCGTTCGGACGAATTAGTTATTTGTTCGGACGAATTAGATATTCGTTCGGACGAATTAGTTATTCGTTCGGACAAATTAGTTATTTGTTCGGACGAATTAGATATTCGTTCGGACAAATTAGAAATTCGTTCGGACAAATTAGAAATTCGTTCGGACGAATTGGATATTCGTTCGGACGAATTAGATATTCGTTCGGACAAATTATAAATTCGTTCGGACGAATTAGTTATTTGTTCGGACAAATTAGATATTCGTTCGGACGAATTAGTTATTTGTTCGGACGAATTAGTTATTTGTTCGGACGAATAAGACATTCGTTTGGACGAATTAGAAATTCGTTCGGACAAATTAGAAATTCGTTCGGACGAATTAGAAATTTGTTCGGACAAATAAGTTATTTGTTCGGACAAATTAGATATCTGTTCGGACAAATTAGTTATTTGTACGGACGAATTAGAAATTCGTTCGGACGAATTAGTTATTTGTTCGGACGAATTAGATATTCGTTCGGACAAATTAGGTATTCGTTCGGGCAAATTAGATGTTTGCACAAATTATCCTGTAAAGAGAGATATACACTTTATCTATTCAGGAGGATTCATCCTTTTTTTAATACATAAATAGCTCTTTGGACCATGACATACACACGTAGCAACTAGACATGTGATATTAAAGTCGGGTATGTTGATTGTAAATATTCGGAAATAATGGATCTATACCGGTATATATTATAGGCCTAAAGTCTGCCATTCTGAAAGTATATTTTCTGAGAGCCCACTAGTAAATTCAAAGGGTCAGTTACTTCTTATCAAACATCTTTTCACTCCCATCCCTGACTAACACTGGGGTTCCAGTGGTCAGTTACCGCTTCTTTGAAAAGATGAGATCCACTCCTTAAGGTTTTACTCCTACTGCAGGCAATTGGTACGGGAAAAAATTGGCATTGAAAAAGTAAGCCCCCCCACCCCACGAAATAGAACTGTCAACTTTGGGCAACTGTAAAAGCGTATAAACAAAATTAAGAAATGCTGAAAGTGAAATTAAATAGTTTGTTGGACTACATGTACCTCTCCAATAACGGGAGGGGGCTATAATTATGCTCTGAAAATCAATGGACTAGTGAATATACCAGATTGATCGGTTGACCTCGTAATTCACCGGCTCGCGAGTCATATGAACAACCTGGGATCAATACGAACAGGTTCATTTTTGTGAAGTTTTCTAAATTCACAAACAGGAATATTTAATTAAAAACTCAATGAGGACCTTTTAATCATTTTATACACCGCATATGTACCAGATTGATTGATTGAATGTTTTACGCCGAATCGGCAATATTTCAGCTACAAATCGGCGACATATGTATCAGAAATGTATTTCAAAAATCATTCACATGTCATGATTAATAACTGCACGGTAGTGAATATGTACATAAAAATCATAAGAAAGAGATCAACATAAAAACGACTTATCTTCAAAATATTTATTGATAATGTTGTTCATTAAAGTTATTTTGCAAAGAATCAAAATAAAATGAAACGTCTTGGTGCAAACCGCACATTATTCGCGGTGTCCTGATAGTTGTTCACAATTTCTCTAATTTGTCCGAACAAATAACTAATTCGTCCGAACGATTTTCTAATTTGTCCGAACAAATAAAAATATTTTTTTACCTGGCCCTCCAGCGGCGCCGTACAAAAACGAGGTAAATAATTGATAAACACGTTGATAAAACAAGAATAACAACAGGCTCGTTTAAAGTCATCATTTCATAAGTTCTATGGTCGATACAATGATCTTGTCAACAAATACAATTTATCATTGAGTCAAATGCTGACTGACATTTTTCATGTTAAATGTTAGGTATTACTTATACACTGAATTGACGACGGATTTTTCTTACTTCCCGATCATGCCAAGGAGCACACGGCGGGTGTGACCGGTCAGCAGGGGATGCTCACTCTTCCATAGCACCCGATCCCATCTCTGATGTTTTGGAGGTCCGTGTTCGCTCTGGTCCTGTTTTGTAGTATTTTATGAAATTTTATCTTAAATACTGTTCGTTATCTCCATATGATTTATTCCAAGAGCTTTACTGCTGCTGTTTTTTAATTGTTGTCTTAACTTATCAGTTCCTTTGTACGATTGTTTGTTTAGAAATGTGGTCTAAGTTAAGCGCAGGCTTTTATATAGCTCCTTATTTCCTTTCTTGATAAACAATAGAGTAGTACCTTTAGGATACTTGTTCAACGTGTAGGAAACTTGTTCAACAATTCAAGGACGATATGATTGATACGTAATTCAATGAACCGTTACAAGTGTGTTTAACGTGTTCAAATTCTATTTTAAATGGAGTACTGGAGAGGACAAAAACCTTTTGAATGATCCTCATATATAGTATTTAATTTCTTTTTCTTCCATGAATTCTACAATTATATCACTATAAAAGTACACTCTTTAATATTTTAACATAAAAAAAACTCTATAATGTAAAAAAATATATATTTATCTTACTCTGCAGCTGGCATAGCTACTGCTATTAGTACTGATTCGGTGATCGTCTACAGGGCGTTTCTGCAATAAACCAACAAAAGTCATGCATTTTTTTATGATCTTATCCATGCATTTATCATGTTTACACCTTTGAAAGTTTATGTTTAGTAAGAAATGAGTCCATTTTGAAACAGCCAATGATACTTATACAAATATACTTGCTTTCTCCGCTCTAATGCATAGCAGACTAAGCAACTATTAAAATAAATACACATTGTATATTCATTTTGTCAATGGTATTGTTTTAGGTGATTCGAGTCACTCAGCTGTCCTACTGTTGCTATCTGTTTGGTATGTTGTTGCGCATTGTCCGATATGCGTCTCGATTTGAACATTTTAAGCAAATTCTTTTGAAGTGTTGAACCAATTCCTACCAATTTTTACGAATAGTACTTACGAGTAAAAGGGAAGAAAACTCATGTCTCCGACCACTGGGACACTGGGGATGGGGCTTAAACCATTTAAAATGATCGAATATTTAAAAATCCCCCACTTTACATTATGTAGGCAGTTAAGACTGAAACATGATTGTATTAAACTTTGAGCAAAATTATTCACAGGATTGGAGATTCTGACGATGCGGCTCTTAGATAATAAATACTAAGTATTTAGCGATAAATTAATAGCTGCTACTATAAGGGGCGCCTCTACCAAAACTGTGATATTCATTATACTCTATTGACAGTAAAGGCCCTTGGGCCTCTTGTTTATAATTGTTGGAGTTATAGCGATATCTTATCCTTGCATCGGAGCTAAGAACTCGACTTTATTTTTTCCGCCCGATCAAATACTTTGTATATTAATTACTAACAGTAGATAATGTGGTAATGTTGATTTAATAAGATTAATTAATGTGATTAAACCTTCACATTTTGTAATGTTTCCAATGTTAGCATGATAAGCATTTTCTACACCTTATTAATGATCGTACTGTCCACAAGTTAATTCGTAAAGAACACAGCAGATTACATACATTGAAACTTAAAAACTTAAAAACAAGCCATATTGAACAAAGTCAATAATCTTTAAGAGGTTTCAATTTTTTTCAGAACTAAAGTATTCTAGGTAGAAAGCAAAAAAATATTGAGTATTTTTTGAAAATATAAAAGGTGTATTATAAATGGGAATCAAATAAAAACTTACTTTTTTGGAAGCCTTGAATATTTTTGAATGGTACTGAAATGTAATTACATATATTGTATTAAAACGAATTGCTTCTGAAACATTGATGTCACGTATTGGAACTTAAAACGAATATTCCTGTTTTTAAAATGCAAGTTCCAATCCAAAGTCAAGAGATCATAAAGGTTGTTTTCCAAACAAAGGAATTGTATAATCAGGGATTAAAAGAAACTTCCAGTCGTAAAGCTTGCGGTTATGAGGCGTGTACTTTTTATCCTGCAACTACCCCTTGCATTGACCTAATAAGCATAACCTAATAAACCAAAGCTTTATCCGGTCACTGCCCTAATAATGCCTCGTGCATGTGTTCCGAAGTTCTAAAAACATTGTGACGTCATGTATATTGCAATGTTTACGCGATGGCGTCATTGTTTCAACTGCACCACTTGTTTCAACTGTGCCTAAATTTGTCAAAAATAGCTAGTTTTGGACGTTCAAATGTAAAGAATATGTTGCAGGATAAATAAAATGCATGATAACTGTCTTAAAATATAAGTGATATTTGGGCTCGGGTCGGCAGGCCTCGCCCTCTATCACGTTTTCTTACCCTCGCCCAAATATCGCTTATATTTCAAGACAGTAACCATGCATTTTATATTTATCCTGCAGCTACTTTTTGCATTGACCTAATAAAAAGTAACCTAATATGACAGCTGCGCTCAAGGTAAATATAAAATACAATATGTTGCAGGATAAATAAAATGCATGATAACTGTCTTAAAATATAAGCGATATTTGGGCTCGGGTCGAAAACGTAAGAGGGCTCGGCAAGCCGCGCCCGCTATCACGGTTCCTTAGCCTCGCCCAACGTGATAGAGGGCGAGGCTTGCCGAGCCCTCTTACGTTTTCGACCCGAGCCTAAATATCGCTTATATTTCAAGTCAGTTATCATGTGTTTTGTTTATCCTGCAACAAAATATTACATTTGAACGTCCAAAACAAGCTATTTCCGACAGATTTAGGCACATATCTGCAGTTGAAACTATGACGCCATATGGCGTAAACATTGCAGCATACGTGACGTCACAATGTGTTTAGAACGTCGGAATACATGCACGAGGCATTATTAGGGCAGTGACCGGATAAAGCTTTGGTTTATTAGGTTACCTTTATTAGGTCAATGCAAGGGGTAGTTGCAGGATAAAAAAAAAATTGGGTTCAAGGTTAAGAGGTCAAATTTATTCATGCTGAAAAATGTCTTGTCACAAAGAATATAATGAATAATATTACGGCCAAAGTCAAAAGTTATGGGCAAGGCTAAAATTTTTGCAGACAAATTAACAGAAAAACAGAGACAGACAAATCTTGATTAAGTTTGATCCATAGGGGTTTATTTTGTTTTCTTCCAGAAGACATTTTTTATACTCAGAATACAATAATAAATATTTGATTGATGATATACATAGTCAAGCTAAAAATTCAATTACAAATATTTTATAAAACTTTTATATGTCTCTTTAATAAATAGTCTACAACTTTATCTAATACTTACTTTAAAAGGAATAAACCTTCGACGTTTCTTCTGCAAAATAAATATTTTGTAAGAATATTCTACAAAATGTATGTATTTGACAGAGGAATTGAAACCTTAAAAATAATATAAGCTGCTTTTAACAAAAGAAGATCTTAAAATTTTGTCACCTGGCTCTGGGTATGGTCAATTTGACAATTTGTCTGTTGAGTTTTTGCATCGTGCTAAAATTCAAAACAAAGGAAAAAGCATTGAATATGCATATGCATGTGATACCATTTCATACAAAGGAGAGATACATTTTCCATCCACATGAAACTATTAATGAAACATGCACATGTATACTTATCAATATTGTTTCACAGTTTAAAAGCCTTTTTATGTATTTTGAATATAGTGAAGATAGCGAACAGTTATCAATCACTAAAAAAAATTACAAACATCAGTCTGTGACCTGGACAAAAACGGACCCCCTCAATCATGTACCTCTGACCGACGTTGTAAAGCGTCAGACTTGTGCAGATCATTGTTTTTATGCTTATGAGTTTTACTTATCTGTTTGCACTTGACATCTATATGTTGCTTCCCAATGAATCCCAGGTTTAGAAACTATAGGCGTTGGTCAGTTATGACCTATTGTATTGCATGGGGTAATATATGGAGATAACGAACAGAATTCAAGTTCAAAAGTCCATTAACCAATACAAAATTGCAACAGAGCAAACACAAACCTCGAAAATATCAGAGGTGGGATCAGGTGCCATTGAGGAGAGAGCATACCCCTGTCCACCAGACACCCGCCATTGAGAATTCGAGATTTAGGCAGCGTATTCGGGCTTCACAGCAGTTGATTACATGACAAATCAAGTTAATTTTCCAGAGACCGTTTTAACATTTCCGTTCATTTCGTAATTGAAATGCATATGACAGACATCCCTCCAATGAAAATAAACAATTTCAATATCTTCTCGGTGCGTCTTCATTGATTCTCCTCTGCATGGAGTTCATCGGTGCATTTATCTTTCTAATACAGATATTTATTGAACCCTTCCGACATAGCAGCAAAAGTTGGTCAAGCTTAGCCGGGTTATACCGAGACCTCAAATCCTAGAGTCCAGTAAGACCCTATGATTTTCGATTGGAGAAAAAAATAGAATTTACGGACGCCATTTCTTTACAAAAAAAATCCTGACAAACTTTTACTTTTTCCTGGGGGTGATCATGTTAACTAATTGGGCTCACGATGTAAAGTCGACGATCTCACAGACTGATATAGAGCAATGAATTTTCTTTACAGTTTTAGAGTGAATGTAATGATTGTTTATTGTCTCAGAGTAGGTTTCAAGGGGTTATACCATGACGATTACACGGGTGGCAAGATAGATAACCCTATCGTTACATGACATTGTTACGCGCCAACATCACTGTTACGGTTGAAATGAATAAAATGTTCTCTATGGTTGAAAATAAAGTAAAGTAAAGTATAAAGATACAAAAGAATACAAAAATAAAAGGAGGAGGAAATCATTTTTTTTGCACTTTTGCATAAATTTGTTCTTAGATTGGAAGTCTTAGATAGGGATTCTAATTTTTTTTTCATCAAAATTTGATATAATATAAATTACATGTAAATAATTAGTCCATAGATATAATTTTCAGTTTCAGCAAAGTTTTAAGTTTTTATTTGTTTAAAATGGTAAATAAATTTTTAATTTCCTTCACATAATTATGGATCGGAAAGGAAAGTTACCGTTTGCCCTTACGAGGGCTGTTCAATAAATAATGTCCTGAACTGTATGACATACAATACAGATATCATATGACATAAAACTTGACTTTCTCTCATGATTGAATCTTTAATGAATTTATAACAGTTTATGTGACCACTTTTTATCACAGAGTTTCATTGTGAGAAGCTGGGAAACAAGGGCTATTCGAGACATTATAAATGAATGGTAAAGAATCGGTAAACTAGAGCGAAAATAAACGCTTCATCAAAGCTGCTGTAAAACTTGTTAAAAATCCCAAAAATATCCACTGAAATATGTGACATTTACAGCAACCAATGCCTGTTTTATAGACAAATGAGCAGGTGGATGTCAATGATAAAAAATTATATAATGGGCATCAAAAATGGGTATCGTCCTTGCCAACAAAAATTATAACAACTTACGTACTGTTTTCCAAATTTCAACAAATAATACTTGATGATGTAGGATTGACTTTAAGACACATGGCAAATTAATAGACATCACATCGGGGGTAGTTTACACTTTTTTAAAGAAACGTTTGACGGTGAAAAAGCTTAGTACTCAAAGGTCACCCTATATTTTGAAAAATGAGTGAAAACGACGGCGTGTACGAATGTCTTAACATTTTTTTTTTAAATATCAGTAATTGGAGTTATCCACGTTTTTTTGTTTTGTTTTGTTTTTTTTTTTGATATTCAAACTGATAATGAAACTTGAATCTATTGTTTAAAATCCTCAAAACAAAATTTACCATAAGATGTACTTGACCAAAACAGCGAAGGTCTGGCGAGAGCAAAGAATTGCAAGAGCTTAAAGACAGATTTATATGCAACTTTCTTAAATATTAGTGGTATTGTTGTTCAAATTCGTAATCAGGGAGACAGTTTAATTTCTGGAGGAGTCTAAAAAACAAATTGTTTGCAAAAAAATCGAAAGGTTTACTACAGGAAGGACCCAGAATCAGGAATTCGCTACATTAAATGTCTTCCTGACAGCGTCCAAACCCGCACGCCCTGAAGAGTAAAGGGGTTTTCGGGATAAACAGATAGTTAATATTTTTTCAATAACAATATTTGCCAGATCTTTGACCTTTTGACTTTTTTCTATTTCCAAACTTGAAAAAACACCTTTAATAAGGAAGAAACAAGTCCAGGAAATCATTGGATCTGCCATTTTCCAGTATACTAAGGGTCATATACCCAAAATTGAGTTCTAAAAACAATCAGAAATTGGATAAAAAATGTTACGGACATGTGTTTTAATTTAGAAAGATTTATAAGTAAAATAGTGAAGACTAAATCATTGAAAAGCGTCTTTTTCTTCTTTCCGAGCACCGAGGACATTATTTATTGAACAGTCCTCGTATATATAGATAAAACACGTCCTTGGGTTATGTTACCTTTATACCGACGAATACGAATTGAAAGATTAAATTTTCAATCCATGTAACCTTGGTTTTTTTTTTGCACATATCTTTATCGAACGTCAAACATAATATCAGCCAAAATGACACAAATGACAAAAATTAGGGATAACATTGCCAAAAACTACAATGAAACAAACGAAATTTTATATAACATCAAATCTTAAATCTCAGGACAATGACATGATGTTTTAATAGTTATTCTTTTCATAAGATTATATTTACATTTCCAATGTCTTTGTCTAAGACAAAATTACAAATTGTAAATGTACTTTATTTCCCCATCAATGTATTGGCGCGGTTCCAAAAAAAACCACGTGCAGGGCAGAACAAACAGTTAGACAGAAGCAGGGATTGGAGCACGTGGATTGGTGGAATCAAAGCATGTAAATATAAGGAATAGCTGTTTTATTTTTCAATTTCATGACGTTGATCAATCGATTGGCTTGCGTGATAATTTTATGCATAAACGCCTTCGGTGTTTATGCAAATTATCACGCAACCCAATCGATTGATCACATCATGAAATCGAAAAATAGGACAGTTATTCCTTAAATAAAGTTTGATACATGTATTAATATACAATGTATTAAGGACACATGATACAAACAAAAAATGGATGCCTGGATTGGTACATTTGTTGACCTAATTTCATTCCAAATGATGTAAATAATAAATTTCCAGAATATAAAGAAATTGTTAACCTTCAGTGATACAAAATTCTATTCTTCTGAAACCATCCTTATTATTCTACACAAATATTTTTCACTTCAAATTCCATTTTTGTGCAACTTTGGTTAAAAACCTAAAAACTATGCGTTTATTCATTTAAACATGACCGAAGTTGTTATTTTCAAAATTTTTAACAAAAGGTTGTTTGTATCATCTGTCCTTAACCTATCTTCATATTTTGATTAATTGTACAACCCACCGATTCCAAAACCAGTTCGACATAGGTGTTCTGGGTATGTTCTGTGTGTTCTGTATGTTCGTGTTGTTCCTAAAAGGAAAGAATTATGTTATTCTGCCTCCAACTTACTGTTGCATTTTTTTTAATGTAGATACGATATAAAATATATCTTAGAGTAAAATCCATTTATCATTGTGCACTTTTTGAAGCACTGCCGGGTTCTGAAATTTAAGGTTAAAAATTATCAAGACTACTAGACTTTGTACTGTCATATTGTAAATTTTAAATTTACCGGGTGGTAGTGAATACAAAATTTTTAATGTGACAATGGTCATATTGTAAATTTAGTAAATACAAAATTTACAATATGACAACTGTCATATTCTAAATTTTGTATTTACTACCACCAGGTAAATTCAAAATTTATAATATGACTGTTACACAAATATTTTTCCCGATAAATAATCTTTCTAAATCAGAAGTCACACTTGTCTTCTGTCTAAATAAATGACAAGAGTAAAAAAAAAAACAATTCTTCACTCGACAACACTCCAGATCTTGCCTTTTGTCTGCAGATTTTGTCGAGACAATATGTGTTTGAATTGTTTGCGATTTTTTTAAATTAAAGAAGCAAAATACCAACAAAAGCATACATGTACTTTCCACACACGAAACTACTACTAAGTTGAAACTTGCAAGGAAAGCAAATATATTCTTGAAATTAGAGAATGTTAAGCTGGATTTCGTTTCCCCAAAATCAATGGTATCTCCCCTCCATCCCCTAACAACCCAATTCTTGCTTTGTCTAGTGTCCACTGTTAGTAATATAATGTGTATATAGGAAATTTTCCACTTAAAATTACTATCATTTAAAGAAATAATATAAATTAAAGGAAACACAAATAAAACAAAAAGTAAAAATGTACCTATCGCTTCGTAAAATCAAATAATATATCAAGAAATATTAAAAACTTAAAATAACACTATGGAGTTTTCCTCAATAAATCATATATAACTAAATAGAAATAATACGACTTTAATTTCATTGATTGCATGACCACTTACCATCTTACGAAAATAAATAAAATGTAAAAGTTTTATTCCAGTATTTTCTTCTCCCTCCTTAAGCGTCCTGGAGGCTTTTTTTAAAAATTCAATTTAATGCTTATCTCTGTGGTTATGTAATACCTTACTTATTTGTATAAAGCTTTGGTTCTTTCATAGTAAAAAAAGAAGCTAAGGCGCACCTTGGACTTTGTAATATATAATTTCTGTTATCTGTAGATTACATTTATCACCTTCAGTCAGTTTACAGCGAGGAGGGGGTATATGTTGAGTTTGTAATTTTTAGACAAGATTTAAACTACTCGTATAATTGCCAATACTTTGTCATTAACAACAGTCTGTTTGATATTCATATTTCTCCTACAACTTTTTCGGTGTTGCTCGGAGATCTTTCAAAAGATAGACTTTCACAAATCATTGTAGAGGAAGAGGCTACAAAGTTCCATGAGTAACTGCTGTTTTCCCGTCTATTCAATTCATAAACTTTGATTTCATATTGTGGTATTGTGCCTTGGGGTGATGATTTAAACATCAACATGAGGATGCCTCCATATTTATATGAATATTCATAATGATTCCTTATTTCTTCTGAAAAAAGTTTTCTAAGATTTTTTCATGAATAACGATGCAATACTCGTCCTTACATTGTGGCCCCACTCTATCATGGGGCTCAAGATTTGAACACTATCTGAGTATGCTTCTAAATACATATAAATATTACTAATTTCTACGTTAAACTTTGATTGCTCATTGCTGTCCACACTACCCCGTGATCTCGATTAAATGAATTTTGAATTTAAGCTATTCAAGGATATATTTGCAAAAGTTTCATTTATTTGACCTGTTGGTTTTCGTCGAAAAACTTGTTAAAAGGCTACATGCTAATAATTTTTCAATAATTTTTATACATCTCCCTTTGAAAGATGGTGTGGTCCTTCTTTAAATAAACCAAAATCCTCTTCTTTCAATAATGTGTGGCAAGTTTGGTTGAAATTGGCCTAGTAATTCTTGAGAAGATGTCGAAAATGTGAAAAGGTTTACAGACAGATGGACGACAAAATGCGTTTCGAAACGCTCGTGATCTCCAGAGCTTAAACGTGATATGATGACGATGAATGTGTTTAAACATTAAGCATTAATTTAACATGAAGAATTTTACACATACTGTTAAATATACTCATTCCTGTATATTTGTTAAAAATCATGTAATGAACAGAATCATATATACAAAACAGTACAGATTTAAATACTAAATTAAAATGTAATGTGCCTTGCCAATGTGAAGTATTTTCTAATAGGAAATGGAACTATGGAACGGACTTAAATTTTGATTGCATATTTTTTTTCTCTTTTTTCACTGTTTACAACCTTTTTTTCATGGGTATAAGATAGCAGATAGTCATTTATGGTATATAAAAATTTTCCATAGAAGACAGAAATAGTAAAACTTCCTGGTTAGCAATGAGATAACACATGTTGAGTCATTGCCGATCAATTATGGATCTGATAGAAACATTTCCTCCTTGTCAAAAAATGCTGACGATCAAATATATTTCAGGTACCGTGATTAAATAAAAAGAAGCTTTCGAGTTTTTAAAAGGTCTACTTTCAAAGAACAAGTCTTCATTTGTCACTCTTAGTGACAAATGAAATTGTAAAAAAAATACAGCGACAGGCATTTGAAGGGGAAAGACATGCAAGTTTATTGAAGGTTATTGATTCGATTGATATCTAAATGGCGTGGGGCTTTCCCCTTCTTTGAATCGGAAAGTTTTTCACTGATGTTTTTTTTAATTGACGGGTACAACCCCCGGCCCCCTTTTTCAAAAATCAAACTATGCGCCTGTATATAATACTATTTCCAAAACGGCCAACATTGCTATGAAAAGATAAATCGAACAAGGCATACAAATGCCTATATTATTAAATTTATAAAATCCATATTCATTTTGTTTTAGTATTAAGAATATATTTTCAGTTAAAGGAAAGAAACAAAAGGCTCAAGGGTCATATCGCTTGCCTGTACACTCTTGCTGGAAGAAAGCAGAAGTTCGGTATTTAAACGTTCAAAAATAAAAGGGGCCTCAGAAATCAAAATAACGCATTCGATGGAGAATAAAAAAACAAGCTGGATGACCTGATTTATTTCGTCCTCTAATTAGCACATTCAGAACAAAACCACCCAATGTTACAATAATATACAAGTATGTTGAGGCGTTGTGTGGAGATTTCGAGAAGGAAGTGGAGGAGTGCCCGCTTGCAGTTGCATGATATCATCAGAAAAAGTCGACGTGAAAAGAAGAAGTGGCAGACAACATGGGGGAAGAACAGAGTGAGCTCAAACAGATAGGGTTGGAGGACAGTAAAACAAGTGTGTAATTAATGGTCTAAAATGTATTAAATAAAGATTAGTTATCATTCGACATAATAATGGATTGTACTTTATCATTGTATTCACCATAGAATATGCGAAAAGGCAACTTCAAAGGAACGAGAGTGTTAATATCCTTAGTTCACTGAACTGTTACCTCGTTTTAGACTTTTTTTCTCGTACGAAGAGCAAATTCTGGTGTATAGAATCAACTGGGAGACTCAAACTTCATCTACAGGAAATAATGGTATATTGCTAATTAAGTAAAGGAAGTTGAAGGTAGAGAAGTTAAAGTCATCACGTTAATTATAAAGTTTTGTTGGTAGTTTGCCATCTTGTTTTAGTATTATTTCCAAATTTGAAACAAATGTTTCAGACTCTTTTATTTCAAGTTAAGAGGGATATATTGAACCAATGTAAAAGATAACGAGGTGATTGATATCAAGTCCTTAAAATCCAAATATGAAACAGATTTGGCAAAATCTGTAGTGTCTTTTATTTCAAGTTCACTGGGATATACTAAGTCATACATAGTTTTGAATATTTTGATATTCTTAACAAATTTGAATTACCATATCAATATTCCATTCCAAAACTTAAATAACATCCTAACAAACAGATACATAGAGGATTCCAGAAAATGTTCTATACCAAGCCTTCTTCTTTACTCCTCACCAAAATTTTAATACATATAGTACTAAAGAAGAAACTTCAGGAGTAATCTGCAACAATATATTCGAGACGTTGTGAAAACCATACATGTATGCTTAAAATATTCAAGAAACTTTTGGAAAATTTTAAATTTGCAATCGCAAAAGTTTACCAAAATCAACAACATTAAAACATAGTTACGACTTTTCAACTTTATTTTCAACCAAACCACAAATAGATATAAGTACACGCTTTTTGACATTGTTGACAGCTACTAGAGATCGTAAATTTACTGACCTTGTCATTGTTCGTTATCTTATTTCGTGGAACAAAAAAAATTGATTGTACACACAAAAAACTTGAAGTTGATTTTTAAAAGATGCGTTTCTGATGGATAATATCTATTTGGTTTACGGAGACCAAGTCTTCTTACCATCTAATGAAATCCTCATGTGTACCAATTACGCAGTGTCATACGAGGGCTGTTCAATAAATAATGTCCTGAACTGTATGACATACAATACATATATCATACGACATTGTGCTTGACTTTCTCTCATTATTTAATCCTTAATGAATTTATAACAGTTTATGTGATCACTTTTCATCACATAGTTTCATTGTGAGACGCTGGAAAACAAGGGCTATTCCATACACTGCATTATAAATGAATTGTGAAGAATAAGTAAACTAGAGTGAAAAATAAAGCTTCATTAAAGCTGCTGTAAAACTTTGCTAAAAATCTCAAAGAAATATTCTCTGAAATATGTGACATTTACAGCAACCAATGCCTGTTTTATAGAAAAATGAGCAGCTGGATTTCAATGATAAAAAATTATATAATGGGTATAAGAAATGGGTACCGTCCATGCCAACAAAAAATTAGAACAACTTATGTACTGTTTGCCAAATTTCAACAAATAATATTTTATGATGTATGATTGACTTTAAGACACAAAGCAAATTTGAAAGACATCATTTTGGGAGT